ATTTAAATTAGGAAGGAACTCTTTACTTTAATTAGTAAGTATAATTCGTTATTATCTTCCTCCGATAGTCGAATTCTCCTCTTTTTCTTTTCCTTCTTTGTATTAACTATATATTATTGAATAGCTTCGCTATTAAATCCAGGAATAAAGTTCGTAATAGTAAATTTATACTATCAATCTAATTTAATTATTATTGTTACTAATTAATAATTATAATACAATACCTATTCTCTATTCATTATATCTTTTAATTACTCTTCTTTATTAGTAGTTTAGTATTCCGAATTTATAATTAGTCTAAATTGACCGTCGTCGAAATAGATGCTTCTTATTGGGTTTGCAGTAGTATTTTATTTCAATATAATAAGGAGGGAGTCTTATATCTAATTATTTATTTTAGTTAGTAGTATCCTTCGACCGAATGTAACTACGATATTTACAATTAGGAATTATTAACTATTATTAAAGCTCTTAAAGAATAGTATTCCGAATTGGAGGGAGCCTAAAAACCTTTTAAAGTCCTTACCGATTATAAAAGTTTAGAGACTTTTACAATAAATAAATAATTTACCCCCTAATATATACAATGGTTTTAATTCCTCTCTCGTTTTAATTTCATTATCAAGTACCGCCCTAGATTATTATAGGTACGCTCCGACGCATTGACTAGGAAATTAGAAAATTTACTTAAAGATAAGGCCGATAAGTGGCTGCTAGTTAAGAATAAGGTTTTATTTAATTATAATATTCTTGTTAATAGAGTTTTCGTTTTAGAGGACGGAGGTGAGGAAGTTTATATTAGTACCGAATATATTTGTAAATTAGAAAGTTTAGACGAGGAATTAACGGATAATTTAGTAATTAAAGGCTATAAGAAATCAATTATCCTTTAAAACATTATTACTTATTTATTAGACCCTAACCGTCGAATATAATTTAAAGAGGTCCAAAATTATGTAAAGAAGGTTCCTTTTATTAAATACTAAGCAATCTAAAGGCGAATATACTTTTATAGCGCTATCTTTATCGACCCTACCAATATGGAACTTTACTTTTTACTCCTCTACTACATCTATAAATCGCCGTCGGCTAAATATCCAAACTATAAAAAGACCTATTTATTACTATTATAATTCTTCTTTTAACTAGGGATATATACTACTATTAAGTTATATTATACGGCTTACCTAATATACGCCAAATCCAAACTATTACAATACGCCCCCTATAGTTTTTTAAAACCGCTAACAATACTATTTATACTATAAAAGGATATTTCCATCGATTACCCCACTAACCCCTTATATATACTGCGGGTAGGAATTTAAATATATTATTATTATTATCGCCTACTTTATTAAAATAAGGTACTATATTCCTGCCGTCGGTCTAATAGTAGAAGAATTAGCGGAGCATTTCATTAAAAAGGTCTATAGTATTTACAATCTACCGGATTTTACTATTTCCAATTATAGTACTTAATTTATTTCGTAATTTTAGAGGGCTTTATTGTTACAATTAGAAATTGCCTTTAAACCCTCTTCCACTTTCTACCCCACTACTAACAATTAAACCGAGTATATTAATGTAGAAATAGAGAAGTACTTTTATCTCTACATTAATTAGGTTTGGGACGATTGAGTAGATTAGTTACTAATTACGGAATTTACTAGTAATAATTTAGTATCTAAGATTACGGGTATTTCCTTCTTTTTTACTAATTATAGTTTTGACTTACATATAGGTATTAAGCCGGTAAAGTTATACCCGCCTAAAATATCGGTAGTAAAATAAATAGAATATTTTGAAGTTAATAAATTAATTAATTAATTTAAAAGAGTTTTAGATTTCGTTATTAATTAAGGGTTTACCTCCCCACACGCACCAAAAACCTACATGTACGCATCTAAGGACCCTGACAGCCGACATGTAAAATATGCCGTTTTAGCTATAAAACTCGGGATTTGTAATGTCTTGAGCTGGGTCAACCCAATACACCCCTTGTAAATTTTAGTATTATAAACTAATCTAACAACGCCAATATAATAATATTTTCATAGTATTAAAATATCATATTATACTCTACTTTACTCTAATCTAGTCTAAATATTAATATTTAATAGTTTAAAACTTATATCTAATAGATTAGATAATTTAGAGAGCTCGTCAAATAAATTAGTTAATAATATTTCAATAACCTCCTCCCTTCTCTCCCTCTCCTTAACTATTTGCTCTCGAACTCTCGCCTCCTAGTATCTCCCCAATTCATTATCCTCCTCCTTATCGTCGTCGGCTACTTCGATACAATTACATACCTCATTCTAAGCACGAGTACGGGCGTTATTACTATCCATCTCTTTAATAGTAGCCCCCTTCTCATAACAGGAATATCTACGGCGTACTAAGGCTTATATTATACTTAAGTTACGTAATTTACCCTTTAGCCCGGTTAGTATACGTATAGTATTATTTAATTCGATTGGCGGTATAATATATATAGGTTCATTACTAAATAGGCCCCCCTACTTACGCAGACGACCTTTAGGTATTACTCTAACAGCTAATTTATACTTAAAATATCTATTTACCGTATCCTAATAAGGGAATTAATATAAAATATAATAATAATTTATATATCGTTAATATAAATATTAAAATAAATAGCAAACCTCCTTTATTACTAGGGCTATTTTACCCTTATTCAATAAAACCTCTATTTCATAGGTATAAGGGAGATTATATTAAGCTTTAAAACTATTAGAGCAAGGTTGAAGGGGGGTATTAGGGAAACCTAGCCGCTTAGAGGGTAGTATTAATTTGAATTTATTCTACTAGCAATCTATAAAATTAAACGCCTATACAAACAATTTATATAGGTATTTACCTATGTACTTATAGTTAACTCACTTAATTCGTATATATAAATCCAATTTAGCTAATAGATCTATATAAACCTTATAATAATAATCTATATATTAAAAATAAACTTTATATAATTCAATTAGACTACTACGAACTAATAATCTATAATTCTTAAAGGAACCGTTATTAGCCTTATTTAGTAATATTATTCTTTATTCCTAATTAAAATAGTTTTTAATATAATAGCCTACCCACTCCTTCTTGCAAGGTAGGAGAGATTCCTTAATTTACGAAATAATATCTTCCTAATTACTAAATTAATATTAAAGAATAGACCAAACGTACTCAAACTCCGTCACTTCAAAGGAGTAAATTATATACTACTATATAAAGAATAGTGTTAACCTTATATTAGCGACTTTATTAAGTAGGGGGTTGAAAGCTTTAGCCCTAATAATTATAATAATATAAACGTTAAACCGCTTCCACTCCTCAAAGTCCTCCTTATTATATTGATTTTATACTTCCTAACTTAATAAGGACCTTAACTTCGACCTTAACAAGAATAGGGGTAAGTATACCTAATCTCTTTCAAGGTAATTAATAATATTATAATTAAAATACTATATATAATACTATCATTATATATTAAAGAAGGTCTAATTAATAGCACTAGTAAATTGGGGGTTACCGTCAATTATAGCTACTTTAGGGTAAGGGATTTTAAGCTCGTTAATAGCGTCTTTAATACCCTAAGCTAAAAAGGCATACCCTTCCTCCCTCACGTTATTAAATAATTTTTGAAAAACTAATATAGAAGTGTTTTCTAGAGTAGGAATTACACCCTATATAAGAAGAAGGTTATAATAATTAGTTTTATACATTATATTAATTAAAATAATATATAGGAACTTTATCTATATCCGCCGCTAGCGTTTAGTAACCTAGAATATATAGTATAATATATTATTATTATTCCCATTGAATTATTCGTACTTAAAAGCGAGGGCATTACTCTAATAGTCTTTATATACCCTTTCAATAAACGCTTATATATTATTATAACCCTTTCGCATATTATAGTATTAATACTAACATATATTATTAAAGTCTTTATAAGTCTAAAGAATATTAGAGTATCCTTTCTTTACTATAGCGAGGACGGTTTATATTATAAAGTCTTATTATAGAAGGAGGTTCTCTAAGAAGGTATTAACTTCCAAATTAACCTTATAATTATATACCTTCTAGCGAAATATAATATAGCCTTCTAATTTGCGTAACGGGGTATAGTTTTAATAGGTTAAATCTATTATCCGGGTAATCTACTTCTATCTAATAACCCTCTTAATTTAGAGTATAATTCGGAATAGGTAATTATAGATAGTCTTTTATAATATAGACCGCCGCTTCGTATTACAATTTTACACTAATAGCGGACGGGGGTCGGTATAGTTGCAACGGTATATAATCTTAATAATAGAACTATTATTTTCGTAATTAAGTTTATTAAATTTTTAAGTACGTTAAATTACAATACTAAAGCAATAGCGACGGTAAAAGGCAACGAACTAGGCAAAAAGCTCGTCGTAATCTTCGGTAATTATTAAAAAGTGGGGGTCGTCCGCTAGCACAGTCTATATTATATTACGATCGATAGAGGTAGAGGAGGCATACGAAGCAAGGCTAGAGATCGAAGAGGTCGATATATAATAAGGGCGCTTAGTAGAGGGTATTTATAGTAATTAATTAGATTTAAAATTAATTAAATACAATAATTTTACGTAATTAAAAGTATAGTACAAATATAGAATTAGAATACTATTGTAGATACGTACAAACTATCAGTATAATAGCGTATAGAATACTAGTGCTAGTACAATTAGCCGTGTGAAAAAAGGGGAAAAGAAATGACTAAAGTATAGCGATGTCGCGTATATTCAAAAGACGAAATTTTGCGGGTAAAAATGGGATTTACGATGTCAGGTGTCATCAGCTGAACCGCCCCAGTTTTCTGTGTGGGGGTGCGTATATGTAGGTTTTTGGTGCGTGTAGGGAGGTAAACCCTTAATTAAACCTAGTAAATATAATAATATTACGGAAATAATACGAATATTCAATAATCGGACGCCTTGAGATATAAAGTAAGAGATAAAGTTCTGTTTAATATTAAGAACCTTAATACCGGCCGGCCTTACGCTAAATTTATACCCCTTTTCGAAGGACCTTTTAACATCCTTAAAGCGGATAGTTATTGGGTAATACTTAAACTTCTAATTAATATAAAATATAACTTAATATTCTGAATTAGTAAAGTTGAATTGTAGGATAAGGAGGGTTTCCTAAGATAAATAGCTATAGAAGAATAGAATATTCGTACTAATTATAACTATACTATAAAGAGGACTAATAATAGGGAGGACTTTATCGAATATAGATTCGAGCGAATTAAACAATACCGGAGGAATAATAAAGGTTATTAGGAATACCTTATAGTTTAAGCACTCCTATATATACTATTATAGCAACTATACACTAATATATTTATAGCCCCCAATATTATACAGGCCTTCTACAATAATTATTCCGATGTATTATATCCCCCGAATTAGGCAGCGGCGGAAAAGAGTCGAAGGCGGTTAGAGACGGAAGAAAATTACAAAGGGGAGAAGGAAGTAAAACGGGAAGCTCTAGCTCCGCAGTAGAGGTTATAACGGCACCCGCTGGCAGCGGTAGTAAAAGCTTTTTAAGAACGGACTACTCGTTTAATAAGGATTTCTATTATTCTATATAATATTAGTTAACTATGTAGCTTTTTTTAGTCCGGGGAAGTATCATAAGGTTAGCCTATATGCCTTATACCTAGTGCTAGCGTACAGTAGTTTCTAAAACTACTATACACTATTATCTCTACTAACTATTGTTATTACCGGTACTTAATTAGTTAGAGCGCTATTTACCGCGGGTCTATAGACCCATTAGCGGCCGCCCTTATAAGACCAGCCTTCTAGGCACTCGGCTATGTACTTTTCTTCTTTTCTCCTTCGTGTAATTACGTATATTTATATCTACTATTTACCCTTTGCCCGTAATATACAAGCTATAACGTTTCTCGAAACTTTAGGTATTCGGGTTTGGAAATTTGGTATAGCGACGGGTATATAAGTGCCTTTATCTTTATAATTAAATTTGAATTCTCCCTTCTCCTAGTCTATAGATAGATTATATTATTAGAGCTATAGGAGGCTTAGGATAATAGGGTTTTTTTAAAAATAAAGTAAAAATGAGTAATTTAATTTCTTTATTATATAGTCCAATATATATTGTAATTTTTATAGATTTGGGTATATAGGTATTAATATTGCTATTGGCCAGCCGTAGTGGTCTTAGTTTGTTGAGTTTTATTATAGGTATTTGACTTTTTTTAATGAATTTAGTATTAATAAAGCCTTTATTTGTATAATTATTATTAATTAGGGTTAGGTATTATATTTTACGTTTATTATAAAGAAGGTAATTTGAAAGGAGGATAGATTTTTTTAGTTTAATTGTTATTAAATTAATAAATAATAATTCTGACGTTTCTTCCTAATTCTGGTACAATTCCCTATTCAAACAATCTTTATTATATTTATTTAAGTATCCCTCCGCTTCTAGGTTATTCTTATATTCTTTCCCGTTCTCTTATAACAATAGCCTCTATTTATAATTTAGCGCGGAGGTTCGGTATTTCCCGCTTTATTAGCTTCGTTAGTATAGGCTGCTTTATTATTAGTAGTATTAATAGCGTTAAGATTATTATTATTATAACTATTTTCATTAATCTTCTTCTTTTAGATTACTTCCGGGATGGGGTTGATTCTTGTACCTTCGATTCCTTCTTTATTATTTCCGATATTAATAAAGGTCTAATACTTCTTTTAGTCGTAGTCGTAGCTGATCCTACTATACTTCTAGCATTTATCTAATTCCTATTGTTTCTTCTAGAAGGTTTGAGAAATTAGGCGTTTATTAATAATTTTAAGCTTATTTAGTTTTATGAGGTCGTTGCCTTAGGAGATTGTTTTACTTTCGGAATTGCTTCCTTTATTGCTGCTGGAGTTGTTACTGCCGGAGTTGCCGCCGGCCGAAGATATTAGGTTGGAGAATTTCTTTTAGAAGGCTTCCTCTTTTTGATGTTTGGCGAGTTTTCTAAGGAGTTTGAGCTATTTTTAGAAGTTTTTGCTATTAGGGATATTAGGTTGATAGGTGATTGAGGTTCTAAATTAGTCGGTGACTCTTTGACGGAGTATCAATATATGTATAGTGTTACCTATATTGTAGCGGTTGGTATTAAGAATAAATTTGTTAGTGAAATTTTAGAATGAAGATTTTATTTAGAGCTTTTGTAGGGTGCGTTCCACTTTGACTTTTATATCTATAGTATTGTACTAGCCGTCGAAGTATTTAATAAGCTCTTTGGTTATCTTCTACTTCTATAAATCGGGGTGTTCGTTAGCGAGGATTGCTTATATATTCAGTTTAATAATAGATATAAGAGTTTTACCTAAACAAATAAAGATATATATAAATTTATTGTATTTATTAGGGAAATACTATTTATTATATACTTAATATAGGCGAATTCCTTCACGTTACGTAATATATGTAGTGTTATAGCTTTAGTAGTTGATTTTAATATATTAAAGATATTTAGGTTAGTAGATATGAAGTATTTTATATTATTAATTAGTTCGATATAGCCGGGGTTGTTAGAGCTACCCGGACTATTACTTAAGCCTCCTCCGCTAATATTGCCTCTACTAGTACCTCTATTTTTAAAGCTGTTACTGGGGTTAATAGAGTTCGTAGAATTTAGGTCTTTAATTATAGTATTAAAATTATTGTTAGCTGTCTTGAAGTTGATGACCTTATCTTATAATAAGCGGACTTAAGCCTTAAGGATAGCCTTCTCGTTGCAAAGCTTTATTATTTTAATATTTTAGTTAGTGTAGAGTTTTCTTTTACTTTAAACTTATTGAACTAGCTTATAGCTTCCCTCTTTTAATAAATAATATTATTCTAGAGGTTCTTTTAGGTTTGGATATAAACCCGTTCGTTAGCTTCTCTTTTGAATATCTCTTAACGATAGTTAGTATATATTATATTAAAAGCCTCTATAATAGTATTGATACTAGTGCTAAAAACCGGGAGGGGAGTAATATTGAAGATATATTAACGGAAGACGATAGGGTATATATTGACTGGTTTATTAGCTTGGAGCCTATTGTAAAGGTAAGCTTAAAGGATTCTATAGTCGTTATTATTATTGTAGAGATGTAAAACCAATATTGCTATTTCGTTATTAGTGATTTTACCCTCGGGACCAATATAAGGTAGCATCTTCGTCCTTAGAAATACGAAGTCTGGGCTATAAAAATCAAAGCCGGGTAGATAGTTAGGGGGGGGGGGGGGGGAATTTGCGAGCTTTATTTAGTAGGGATGGATCAATTATTAGCTATATTGTAATTGAACGCTATCGTTTAATTGATAATAGGGACTTCGCTTAGGAGGCTAGAGTAATAAATGCTAGTAGCTAAAGATTTAATTTCCGTATTAGTGTAGTTAATAATAATTAATTCGGTATTATTATTATTTTTAGGGTAATTAGAATAGCCGTAGCCGGTAGTTATTATAATTAAATTTATTCAGTAATTATAATAGTTATCGAAGTTATTTATAATTCTTCCTCTATCCTATAAGGGCTGAACGTTGGAATTAATTAATTGATTACTAGCCTACTAGCTACGATGATAGTTACTTATTGTATGCGCGTAGCGCGATTGAAGGTATAATAAACTATTACGGGGCAAGGGCACTATTATAGGTAAGTTATAATATTTATTATTATATGAAGGAAGTAAGAGGAGAGTATGCGCTAGCCTAGGCTTATAAGGGTTGTGTAACCCAGTAGGGTGGGTCGCGTAGAGCCTTAATGCCCGGGCTGGTGGTACGGTACTAATGGCACGTGATCTGGTCATGTGCTATGGCAAGGTATAGGGCATGTGATCTGGCCCTGTGATATGAGCTGCCGCTTAGTAAATTGTCTCCTAATATCTAGAAATTTCTTTTCTAATTCGCTAGTAATTTCGCAGTTGATTATCCCTAGTCTATCGATGTAGGCAGCAACAATTACTTTATATTTAGCTTTAAATACTAAATAAACTGATGGTTCTTTACTAGGTAAATGGCTATAAGATTTATAGCCTTCTCGAAGGTTAAAAGTCTACCGTCGATTATTGTACTTTAATACCTTAGTATACCCCTGTTAAGAATATTCCTATTTAAATGTAAAAAAAGAACGAGAGTAGTTGATTGCTTTACGGTAGGGACCAGTAGAATAAGTAATATAGAGTTGTATATAACCGAATCCCTTAATAAAGTTACTAGACCGACCCTTTATAGTACTATAATTAAACTCTCTTAATTATGCTTAAACGGCCGTTACTAACTTATTAAAGGTATTTTATTTGGTATTAAAGATAGTATAGTCACTATACTCGTAGCGGCCGCGGGGGGGTTAGTGAGATTCGTCTTTATTATTACTGGGCTAGTCCTTATATTCGTCGTTATTAATATCGATAAATTCTAGCTGGGTAAAGGTAGGTTCGGTTAGGGTAATACTTATTGGAGGTCTCGAATTAGAGTTGATAAGAGTAAGGTCGATTATTTAATTCGGGTCACCCGCGCTACTGTCGTATGCGCCTATCGGCTGGAGTGTCGCTATATTAGCTATTTATATTACAGTTAGCTGGGAAAACGCACTCAAAAGTAATAGATTATTCCGTACCGTCGACTAGATAAGAGCGCTTTATTTACTTTAGTATCTAGTAATGCGCGGGGTAGTAGATTGATTGAATATAACGAGGTAGTAATGTGTGTGGTTTAGTAGAGGAAGAAATATAATAAAGTATATATTAGAATATTTATTAAATTAGATTAAAGTAGCTAGTATAGTACGAGGGTGGCTAGTACAACCCCTAGATGGGTTTAACAGCTTAAAATCTAGGAGCTTAGCGGACGTAGTACGAAAAGGATTGAGAAGGGTAGAATTAAAAGCGGGAGCTAGTAGGAGCGGACTAAATATACCGAGTTTAATTAATCGAGATAGTAGGAGAGGTGGGGCGGCGGTGTTTAAAGACTTTTATAGCGGTGCGAAAAGACTTTCTCATATAAGTAACTCTACTACCTTCCCTAATCCTTCCCTATACTAACTATTATATTAAAATACAATACACAAATATTTACGATTCTACTCAACTGCTAA